AAAAGAAATGTTGCATTGAAATCCCTAGAGAGATTTAACAGGGTTAAATAACGGAATCCTTGTGAATATGATGTGAGCTAACTGATAATTATGTCTTATGTGTAATATTTGACCGATCATGTTTTTATTGAGCAGTGATGTGCACTAGACAAAGCTACTGCAATGCAAGCAAAAACAGACATGGCATCTGTCCTCATGCTGCTTGCTGTGTGGTTTTCAGGGACAGTAGCTCATCCTGAGGGAGGGGTAGCATGCATTTTTAAATATACACATCTGACACTCACTCTGGGAGACTCAGAGTCAGAACAATTGTCAGAACAATTTCGTATATACGTATAACATAACTGCTCACAGTATAATAGAATTAAAAGAGAGAAACTGTCAGGAATTTCCCTGCTGTTTTGTACTTTATCCACAGATTCATATGGCTGAATTCTAGATCAGTTTGTATCAGTGAGATCTAAAATATAGAGCTGGTTTTGTAATAGTCATTAGTGCTGTTCGCAAACATTCTCATTTTCCCCCACTTACCACCAAAGGATTGCACTTCTGTGCCCACCTGAAGAATTGAGGTCATGTGACATTGTTGTGGCCAATAACATGTGAGCAGAAGTGGCAGCACTTCACAAGATTCTTTTTCACTCTGGATTGGGTACTGGCAGTATTCAAGATAGTGGTTGCTCAGTCAGCCTGGGTTCCTGAGTGACTACAAGGAGCAGAGCCCTCTGCAGACCCAGAGTAATTTGTAGCTTTAAATAAGATAGTAATCAGGCTTGTTTTAGGACATTTTAGGTTTGGGGTTTGTTTCTTTATTGCAGTATTACCCTGCATATCCTAGCTGATACAGAATTCTAGGGTGAGCTTGTGACAGCATGACATTTAATGATTACTAATGTAAAGCCCTCTCAAAAAGCTGAAAAGATAAAAATTGTAGAGAGCAGAGTGTCCAGTTCAAAAATTAATGTGTATTTTTCTCTTTTCAAGCCCAAGAATCCCCTTGGAATTGCTGAAAATGTGTCCATCCCCTCTGAGAGTGTGCACAGCATATAGATGTATAGACAAACTGCTATAGCCATTTGTCTGTCACCTTGAGAGAAGCCAACATAAGCTGAAGCAGAAGCTACTGAAGGCAGAGAAAAGAGGAAGATAAATATGGGTTCTGAATGATATCATTGAGGTGCTGGAGTAACCAGCCCTGATGCCTGGCATAGCAGTGTGGTTACTGAAGTCAGCACATGCCCTTATGTTAAAGCTGGTTTGTGTCGCATTTTGTGGAGGATGCAAAGATGTGCTGTCCAGGCAGCTCCAGCTGTCAGCTTCTTCAGGATCTGCTCAGCTACAGAGAGCCTCCTTGCTTGAGATTTCACCCTCCCCAGGGCAGACTGTATCCTGTGTAAAGGACTGGACGTTTCAGCCTGATACAGGATACTCTGAGGGCTCGTGCTCACTCTAGAGCCCCCTTCCAGGTTGGCCGTCTTCCTTCAACCTGCATAGTAGTTCAACTTCTTCTTCTGACCAGTCCTGCTTCCTGTGCATTCCTAACAAAAAATCATTCTCCACATCTCCATATCGGTGTCTACTTTCAAAAAAACAGTTTGTCAGCAAGTTTTCTGTAATATCAGGCAAAAGAATCCTAACTGAGATTCAGTGGGAAAGATTGAACTTGTTCTTGTCTAGAGGAAGGAAAATGCACTTGTGGTCTCTCTTATTTTTAACTTTGTATTGTATGAATTTTTGATCATATGAACACAAAGAAAGAATATGAAACCCAATATACCCAGCTTCAACAATATCGGTATATGACCAAGCTTAATCATCTGAAAATTCCCATATTATTTTAAAGTCTTAGACTTTATTTCATCCGTAAGTCAAGTATACTAATGTCTGCTTTGAAATGCAGTGCTGTGCAACACCTTTTGTATTTTCCTCCCAATCCAATTTACATTCTCCTCCTAACCCAATTTTTACATGTTGTCGCATTCTTTCTTCTTCTTCTCACCATTATAGTTTTCAAAAGAGGAAATATTGAGAGGAAATACTCAAAAGAGGAAGTATTTTAATAGGAGAAAGGGGCCGTAGTGGTATGAGATAGATTAGCCCTGGAATCCATCCATTTTCATTTATTCAAGAAACACTTTAGACCTGTCATTTCCAACAGTCTTTGGATACTCAGTTGTTACTCATGTAAGTGGCTGTTGGGTTAGGTGATGATGACTTTAGTTAGAAAAACTAAAAAGAAAGAGGAAGGAAGGGAGGGAAAGAGGGAGAAAGCTAGCTGGCCATCTAGTGGTCACAGTGGGAAGTGTCATGTATTTTTTTCTGCCAGGCAGAACAAGACGTGCTCTAGAAAGGACCTTCAAGAGGAAAATGAGGCCCAGAAGTGAAGTGATTTAAATCGAATGGCTAGTTAATAGCAGAGCTAGGGATACAACCCAAACAGGCTGACCCAAAGAGCTGTATAAATTATGATTCTTTGAAACTCTTAAAAATGCTGTTCAAATTATTTAAAAATTATTTGAAACATCATATTTTAAATTTATTTTTATCAACATAGTATATTGGTAGCAAAGGGAGAAAGTGTTTTGGTTGAGTGAAGGAACTAGATGAATCTATGGTAACATTGACATTGAATTATTTTTCCATTAAAAGGTATGCCTCCCTCACCAGATAGGAAGCTCCTTTAAGGCAGGGATATCTTACTCATCTTTGCATCCCTAAAGCCTGGCCTGGTGTCTCTAATATAGGCTGAACAAATAAATGAATGAACGGAATTAGGAGGTTAGGTTCTAAAACTGACTGCCACTGGCTAACTTTGTGACTTTCAGATTATTGAATCCCTATGGTCTCTAGATTAATTAAAAATATCATTGGCCTTTTTAATAATAGAGTTGGAAAAAACCTTAAATTTCATTTATGCCAACTATTTGATGGGTCTATGGGATTACCTGGTTATTTGGGACACAAACTCATTACTAACATTTTACTAATAATACCTATGTTAGTTTTGTTATATTCCTAAAACAAAGGTTGAATATTTAAGAGAAATATTGCTTCTCATAGAAAGGTCTGAATAAAATTGCACCATGCCATGGGCAGTACATTCACAGTCTTTATGTTTACCTTCAGGAGCTGCTTGGATCAGTAATTCATTCCTGTCTGCCCAGTTAAAACTGAAAGTAGAACTCATAGAAGAGCACATAGAAGAGGAGGCTACTGTGTGTGAAATGAACCCAGCAGTGAGCAAACCAGACAGTTCAAACTGTTAACCTAAAAATCAAAGGTCTTTTTAAGTGAGAGGCAACAAGCAGTTATTTGAGATAAAAACAACAACAACAACAAACAATAGCTTTTTTGAGAATCACTGACTCAGGCAGAAACTCAGTGTTCCAATTTGAAGACAAAGGCAAGGGACATATGAGAAAGGAAAGGGGGAAAATTACTTTAATAAAAGAATAGCATTTCTGTTGGTGCAGAAAAGCTAACAGAGTGACACTTCAGTCCAGTAGTCATAATATCTGCATTCTTGTTATGTTTGCAAACAGTTCTTTGGGACATGATGTTGATTCCCAGGCCAAAGGTTAGTTGGCCCTGTTTCAACATTTTGAAGGTTTGAGGCCTAAGACATGCAAGGCAGTTTCTCTGGGATGGCAACTCCTAAAGTGGCTACAGTTATATTAAACAAAATGATCATCGGAATTGTGTAGTATCTGCTAGGTCACATTGCTCTTGTCTATTCTGGACTGGGATTTTCCTAGTCCTTTTTTACTGGAGAGTGAAGGTCTTGAAGGTGGATCTGCTTTTAGCTTATTAACACCTTGAGACACTTGGCGAGGCGTGGGGCGGCGGGGCGGGGCGGGGACGGTGGGGACGGTGGGGACGGCGGGGGGTGGGGGGAGAGGCGCGGGGTGAGAAGAGGTGGTATTTTGAGACGTCACTTCTGGTCCTAGACCTACCACTAGTTGTACGACTTTTAGTCAGTTGCTTCTCTGGATCCAACTTTCTTCACTTGTAACATCAAGAGGTTAACTAAAGGATTATCCCTAGAGTTATTTTCAGCTTTTTCTTTGAATCTTTCAGTTCTAAGGATAAATCCTCAGCTGAACTGTTACCCTTTGTATTTTCCTGGGTCGACTTTCTCCTGTCCATAATTAAGTTTCTCCACGTTTTTGAGGATAGAACGTGAGTTTTATTCATCTTTCCCCCAGTATTTGGCACAATAATGACGCTGGTGATTTCAACTAGGGCTGAAGTTAGTTCCCATTAAGATAGGTACCATCTTTGACTGAAGGAGCTCACAATTCAGAGAGGGGAAATGCCAAACATCATTAATCACTTCATTACAAGCTTAGGATACAAAGGATAACAGGAAAACTGGTTACTTCTTTCCTTACCACTTACATATTTTAACAAGAACAAGAGAGCGTTTCTGATAGTTAAGGCTCGTTGAGCGCTTTCATTGTGCCATCGCTTTCCGTGTGCTATGTCCCAACACATCAACCCTGTGTCCTATAGTAGTATCTGTTTCACACCTGAGGAAACAGGCACGAAGAGGTTAAGTAACCTGCCTGGGTAACACCATAACAACTGAGAGGCACATTTGAAATTAGGCAGCACAGTCCCAGAGCCCGCACTCCACTGGGCAGAAGAATCGCAAAAATCACACATATCATAAGAACAACCTTGTGATTTCTCCGAGACAGACAAGTCTGGAAGAGTGATGAGTTCAAGGTACAGAAGGAGCAGAGGCCACGTGTCTACAGAAGGCTGCAAAAGATGGCAAAGAAGTTTGAAAAACAAAAACAACAGGCACTTTTCCGGGTTGGACTACACTGCCGCCGACTGAGGAAAGCAGGCGTTAAAGAACCGGTGAACCAGATTTGCGGAGCGCGCGGATCCCGGGGAAAACCGCGGTACCGGTCGGAAATGACGTCAGCGGAGGGCGGGGCGCTGAGCGGGATTGCGGGGCGGTGGCAACCGGCCGGACGTGAGGCGCAGGAAGTCCCGCCCCGAGGGCGGTGCGGGGTTGTGGAGGGCGTTGCGATGGGCGGGGAGCTCCAACTAAGGTGCTCCTGGAACCTTGGATCCCGGACAGGTAACCTGCTGGCCGAACCTGGACTCTGGCGAGGGTGGGAGTTAGGGTTGGTGGCAGGCTTTGCTCGCATCCTCACGCTCGGACGGGTATAGGTTGATCTCATTAGGGGGTGGCTGAGGGAAAGGCTCCTTGGCTTGGGGCTCCCTGGGGTGATAAGGATGGGAGGAACTTTGGGAACCGGGTCGTGAGGGCCGAGGTCGTCGCAAAAATACAGACAAGACATGGCTTGGGGGTCATGGGCTCTGGAGCGTTGGCGCTCGGGGATGGAGAGATTGAGCCCGGGCACCGAGAAGAGCTGACCTGGAGTTCATTCTCCACCTACACTGACCCCCAGGGCTGTTCTAGGGGACAGAGACTTCCGTCTTCTCATCTCTTCAGGACAGTGCATTGCCACTATTAGGCATTCTTTAGATGCTTTCGAACATGAACTAGAACATGAACTAATGAACGTACGAAGCTGATTCTGCCTCAGCTCGGGGGGACTCTCCCCAATTTCAGTGTCCCTACCTCTGAATGGAGAAGTGACTCCAGCCTAGTTTGTGGGCCAGTGATTGATGAGGATGCCGGTGCAGTAGAGATTCAGGACATTGTTGTTTGTGGTTATTGAAATTTAGAAAAGTGTTTCCCTGTTTTTCTCTGGTGTGGGTAGAGAGGATAAGGTGACTCATTTGGCTTCTTTCAGGTACCTCGCTTTTCTGGAGAGATCTTCCAGGTGAATGATACCGGGCAGGATTTGGCGATCAAATGATAAGCTGCAGTTGTAGCACTGAGCTTCTAAGTTGTGTTCTAAGTGCTTTCTGTTCACAAATATGAACTCGCTTTTCTTTTTCTAATGTTGTCTGTCTTATATTGGAGTACTTACATTTGAGATGTAGATGAGAATTATTTCCCAACAGAGGTTTCACCTGGTGTGTTCACATAAGGTTAACTTCTTCCAAACAGTTGTAGAAAGCCTCCGAAAGAATAAATCCCTGAAGATTAAATTGTTTCCTTTGTAAACTGTTTGTTTAGATGTCTTAACTGTGATAAAGAGTGGGCACAGACCTAAAGAACTAGTACTGTAACCACATTGTTTTTGGTTGTCAGGCTGTGTAACGGGATCTGGGCGTGAATTACTAGTCCCATCAGGTAATAATAGCTCCTTAGAGGTTCTAGAATTTTATCCTTAGATTGGAATTTATGACTTTTTTAAATAAAGAAGACACTAGTAAGCATTTTTAGGTTAAAAAAATCTAAGATGTTCTTAAAAATAGGTTGGAAAAAACAAAGGTAGACATGTAAATAAATTTTGCAGTCACTTAAATTTTAAAAAATTGCCTGCCTTTCAAACTTGTTTTCCCAGTGTCTGGAAAGTGTTGGTATATCCAAATCACCCCCATCATTGTATGCTCTTACTATGGTGTCAGCTTCACAATATGTATAAATAGGGTACAAAGTAAGGTTTTGAGATCCTCTAGATTTATCTTAATATTAATGTCTTACTTAAATAAAGTCTAATTTTGCTACCTCAATCTGCCGTTAAATGTCATGTCTGTTTATTTTGCACATCTAAATGTTTGTATTCATAATAGTAACTATTATAACTATTACTCATAATAAATTGGTATCCAAATGGCAACTTAGGTGTATGCATTGACGTTCTTGAGGTTTTCAGTTTTGCAGAACACTGATATCCATGGACTCTAACATGAACTTCACTTAAAGAAATCCACGGACCATTAATGGACAAAAACATGAGTCATTTTGTATTGTGGCATTCAAATCCTAGCACTTTGGGAAAGGTAAGTTATTGACTGAGTTTTGTGTTAGATGAGAGAATAGCCCTGGATTGATCTAGGAAATTGTAGGATTGTGATTGAAAATATAGACTGAACCTCTTTAAAGTTATGTTTCAATGTGGATCTTCCAAAGAGAGGTTTGTTCTCTATGAGGCAGTTGTTACTATTTACCTATAAAATTGTTCAGAAATAAAAGTGATTGACAAGATATATTATTCCTGAAAGGTTACTACTCTTCTTTCTTTTTCTTTTCTTTTTTTAGAAGTTCCTTTCAGCACTGTAGAATGTGGTAGAGTATATCAACCTATTGATACCCTGTAGGAATGGGACCTCAAATAGTCATTTAAATCATCTCTCATGCAACTTTGGCTCTGTAACAATATAGATCTCAAATTTTGTGGCCAGTTTTATGCCTTAGGTTGAAGTAAGAAAAGAGGCCCCAAAATGTCTTTTTTTTCTTATCCTGCCTGATTAGTGCTATTTTGTTTTTCTTTTTTCTTCTTTGTTCTTCTTTTACACATTTCTTAGATGATCCATTCTCCAGGTCTTTTATTTTTCTATCCTAGGGGATAAAACTTCTCTTTTTTTCTGCTTTACCTTTCCTAGCTTAGGAGTTTGTTAATTTTTAAAACTTTAACTTCTAACTTTGTGATAATGTTTGGCAACTTTTGTCTTATAACTTTTGTCCTTATAATTACTTGCACTAGTCAGAGGAAGGGATTGCACAAGTGAGTTCAGTTCTTTTACAGAACTACATGGAAGGTTTGATGATGTCATAATGGTTTTAACTTTGACATTAGATTATTACTCTTAATGAAAATTTGTGATGAACTGAGTGTTTAATGCTGCCAAATTCAAAACTGTTATGTAGTTTACAGCACGTGACTGACTTCCTGAGACGATACGATGATACTTTGGTTTGCAAGCTAGGTGGGTGCTGCGTTGGTTAGGTTCTTCTGAGCCTCTCTTTATGACTGGATGGGATGTATTTTGTTTTATTTGAACTGCTATTTAGGGACTCTACTTTTCAAACAAATTCTTTTAAATCACTAAGCATTAAACTTGTGTTTTTCCTGGTCTCCTTTGTAGATGCACTGGCTTCTTATTTAGAATTGGGTTCTAAATTCTGATTCTAAAATCAGACAGCAGTTCTAGGAGTTTCCTCTTTTGGATATATTTGCACTTGCACTCAAAAATTTGTATATAAAAATATTCATCATATTATTATTTTAAATAAAAAAAAAAACTAGAAATAGCCTAAGCATCCCTCTACCAAGTTCTGATTAAATAAATGCCTTCATACAATGTAATATTTTGCAGCTCTTAGAAAGAATGAAGCAGATCCATAGGTGGAAATATGAAAAAATCTCCATGAGATACATTGTTAACTGAGAAAAACAATATAGAAGTATACGTACAGTCTGTTTTTCATTTGTGTTTTTAAAAGCATACATGCAGAACTTCTTCAAATCTATGTAATACACTATTATTTTATATTTATCCAGATACATATATATATTTATTGACAGAAATACTCCTGATGAATGAAACCACAGGTCTGGGGTAGGAAGAAGACTCCTATTTTTTTATACATTCTTTCTGGTGGATTATTTATTTATTTACTTTCTGTGACCATAATATTATTTTTATAATACTAAGAAACAAACAGCCCTGGCTGGTATGGCTTAGTTGGTTGGAGTGTCGTCCTGTAATTGAACAGTTGCAGGTTTGATTCCCAGTCAGGACACATGCCTAGGTTGTGGGTTTGATCCCCAGTCTGGGTGCCTACAGGAAGCAACCAAGTGATGATTCTCTCTCACATTGATGTTTGTCTCTCTCCCTTTCTACCTTCTTCTCTCTCTAAAGAGCAATGAAAAAATGTCCTTGGGTGAGGATAAAAAGAAATTTTTCTTGAAGAAACAAACAAACAGCAAAGTTTTAGACTAATTTCATAATTAGGGAACCTACTACATACTATTTCTTATAACTTTTGTCCTTATAATTACTTGCACTAGTCAGAGGAAGGGATTGCACAAGTGAGTTCAGTTCTTTTACAGAACTACATGGAAGGTTTGATGATGTCATAATGGTTTTAACTTTGACATTAGATTATTACTCTTAATGAAAATTTGTGATGAACTGAGTGTTTAATGCTGCCAAATTCAAAACTGTTATGTAGTTTACAGCACGTGACTGACTTCCTGAGACGATACGATGATACTTTGGTTTGCAAACTAGGTGGGTGCTGTGTTGGTTAGGTTCTTCTGAGCCTCTCTTTATGACTGGATGGGATGTATTTTGTTTTATTTGAACTGCTATTTAGGGACTCTACTTTTCAAACAAATTCTTAGTTACTCATTTTGTTTTGATTTTTGGACTTAGTCTAACTCATTTCAAAGAATGGCTTGTTCCCAGTAAACCAGGAAGATCATTTAGGTGTATGTGGGTAATCTTATTTTGTATTGATGATATTACTTTGAATTGGCTGATTATTTGCTTTGGGACTCAGCAAAAATTTCTGGTGATTTTTACTTCTCTGGCCATCTTTCCACACTATCATTGTGGGAAATTTGGAATAATAGTAATAAGTGAGTAAAATGAGTTATACAAGAAATTTAAAGATACAGTGATTTTCATTTTAGAGGTAGAGGAATTTATTTGAAACCTGCTTGAGAATAAGCTTTGTAAGGTACATACCCATATGATACCACTAATTGTATAACTAGTTAAAATTTTTAAAAGGCCACTAATCTAGCGGCTGCAGCATGGTTAGTGAAACAGGCCAGGTTGTGATATGTCAGGTTTTCTATACCATACTTCAGCAGACTGTTTTGCTCGTTATCATCATTACTGTTGAATCATACTTTGCTTTTGGAGTTCCTCGGGTTGAATCACAACTAGCCAGGAAGTGAAAATTACTGGGCAGGATGCCTAGAGGGAGACTACTTATTCTTGCTAAGAGAATGGATAGTAATGAATTGAATCCAAGGGTTGATTGTGTTTTCCTGAGTCAAGGTGAGTGTGGTAAGGGTAACATATAGAAAGAAAGGAGATGAGCATGAACGTCAAACTTATAGTAACGTAGAACTGGGGAAGATACCTGTATCGGTATGTCTATGTATACATGTATGTGTATGCACATAGACAGTATGTTATGTATATAAAGTGTGTGTATATATTATTTTACACATATAATATATTAAAAATTTTTCTGGAAAACAA